AAGGGAGCTCTGGTCAGACGAGCGAGGGACCGGAACGCTGAGCCGGAGTAACTTTCTTTTCTATCTCGTCTTTTTGTTGTGAGATACCACGGAAAAGTTGCTAGTACGGGCTTTAAAGCACACAAAGAGTACCGAAGTATTTTCCCTTTAAGGACCGACCCTCTCTTTTCCCTTTTTTTTTAACACCTGAAAAGTAAGTATGGATTAGAGCAATTTTCTACACTTTTCTTCAGTCTTTGTTAACTAAATTACAGATTAGACTGCATTGCTCGAGCGGGTTTGATTATTTGTACAGCTAATCCCTTTGGAATGGATCAAAATAATCATTTTGGACCAGACTATTAAAAATGTTTAGACTGCTCTAAGTGAAAATAGGCAGCTAATGGGATTTTGAGTAATGCCTTTACTCATTCATCCTCTTTGTTTGTTTCTGAAAGAGTAACTGCTTAGCACTTTTGAAATTATGATTATAACTCTGAATTTTTACCTCCTTACTTAAAATAAATGTCCTTTGATCCATGTTTCCACATAATATTGTAGAGCTTTACTTAAATTGGCTTAGAAATCAGATCAGGTAAATCGGTGATTGCCCTTTTTCCTTGCTTATTGAAACAAGGAATTCTTGAAATGATTTGTTGCCATTGCTTGTGATTTGCCACATTTGAATAGCCCTCGAGTAGTAGTTGCTCTGGGGAGGCTGTGGTGTAGCAGGAAGTGCTGCTGCAGGATAATGGCCTAAAAACTGACAATATGCAGAAATCGTCCAGCATGATAACTGACAGAAAATACAGTTTGCAGTGACAAAGTGGCTTAAGTATATAAGAAAATGGAAATAAGTAAAGGCAGATCAAATTGATGGAATTTTAATACCATTGTACACCTTCCTCTGTTAGAAATATTTCTACACCCTTTCCCCCCAAAAAACGACTCAGTCCTGACTTGGTACACTTAGTACCACTGGGATGGTACACAATCCGTGTTTAAAAAGTTTTGAAAAGAGAAAATGTGGAGTTCCTTTGGGAATTATATTCTTACATTTACTGATACTCGTATGTTAATAAGTTGAACCACAATCAAGCGTGTATGTAAATGTTTTCAAGGCTGTGAGATTTATCTTGCTATTATCCTTTATTTTTTGATTCCCTTGAATAAATGCATTTGAGAAATAATTAGATAGTGTGGTCTTCATTAAAACATCATATTTCAGTATATATGTCTGTAGCAGTGGACATTAGAAAGTGCCTAATGAAGAAGAGTACAGAGATAGGACATTGTGTGATCCCTTAATACCCTGAATGCAACCATCTGTGGCTTTAGTACTTTATGAATCAGAAGTGGTGTTTTATTTTTAAAATTCTTGGTATTTTCATTCCACGAATTTGCCCAATCTTTTTTTTTTTTTTTTTTAAGTCCACGTAGGTTTTTGGTATCCTCAATGTACTACAGGAAGAGGTCCTTGTCAGTGCAACTTGGCTATGCATTGTGTGAAATGTGGTTTTGGTTTTTTGAAGTTTCCTACTTGTCTTAGTTGATATTCTCATTTTTGGTAGAAACAATGAACAGTTGCTCTCTAGTCACCTTATGTCTTCAACTCATAATTTTATATCTTTCCTCAGTGTGTATTTTTCAAGCTCAAGAGTGTTAGTCTATTTGATTTTTTTTTTTTCATGTTGCTATTAATCTCTCTTCTTTTTTGTATTTTTTGAGCACTATTGTATGCTTTTGGAGTGAGGAGCCCAGGAGTTACACACAGTATTCAAGACACAAGAGCACTCAAAATAATGTTTTCATATAATTATCCAGTTCTTTCCTTATAATTCCTGTCATTTTTTTGTTTTGCTTTGTTAGAGAAGTGAGAAAACAGATGAACTGAGCACCATTCAATGTTGTTCTGTTGAACACTGAACAAACATTGAACATTGTTTTCACAGAGTTAACTATATAGATCTCCGGATCTATTTTCTGACTGTTAACATCCACTAGATAGTTTTATATGTAAGGATAGCATTTTTCCACGTGTTTACATTACGGTTATCTACATTAAACTTCACCTGCCAATGCATGCAGGATTGTGATGCTGTATGCAGATTCCCAAGTGAGCTTTATTTTTACTACCCTCAGTAATTTAGTATCATCAGCATACTGCACCACCTTACTATTTATTTGTTTTCAGATCATTTAGCATGAATTATTTAGCTTTTATTTCAGTGGTATGTCTGTGCAAAAACACCCTGAAGAAATATGTACACGGTTGATTCCAAAATGTAATGGGAATATAGTTGTTCCCTAGTAGCATCTCTGTTGCCTAACACTACTCTTCCTAGCTGTATTCCAGGCCCCTGTCCTGAGGAATTTGCAATCTCGTCATGAACAATTTCAGTATAAAGAAAACTTAGTTTGAGTAGTTTAGCATCAGTCATAAGTTAGAAGAGTGTTAACTACATTTCTCCTTGTGACAGAATCATTTTTAGAATAAAGAAATACCTTTTCATTGACTATACCTTAAACAAATACAGGAAAATATAATGTGTTTCATTTAAATTAGAATGAAGATATTTATTTCAGGGTAATGTAATTTTTTTGTCATCTTCCAGTTTCACTAACAAAAGAAGATAGGTAGCTTAGTGATTTTGGTTGATTCTTAATGGTTCTGTATGATAGAATACCTGCACCTGTGTAACAGTGGCTATTGATACCTTGGCCTCAATGTACAAACAAATGTCTTCAATTGCTATTTGGTAAGTTTCTAAATGAAAATTGGGCTATAATATTTCAAAATACTTGGTTGTTGTTTTCATAGTCTGTTCTCTGTTCTGAAACAGAATAACTAGAAAGAACAGAGAATATAACCATGACTGTCTTCAATCAAGGCTGTAATCTTGGCATCTTCTTTGGCCTGTTTCTCTCCTTTGACCCACACATCCAGAACATGTGTAAATCTTACCACATCTGCTTGGATATTTCTAAGTTTCAATCATTCCCTTCTGTGCACTGTCCAATTTTATTAATTTTTTTTTGTCCATGTCCTGGCTATTGTGTGCCCTGTAGTCTTGATATACACAGGGATCAGCTCTGTTCAAAATTGCTGTGGTTTTCACCTCAGAGTGCCTTTGTTGTCTCCTGTTCTTCAGAAACATCAAATACAAACATTTGATTATTCCTTCTTAATTTAGTCCTGTGATTCCAATCAGCTTCTCGCCATATGGACAACTTTTGCATCTGTTTAATAACTTTGGACACAGTTGCCGAGCTCTTCACTTTGGGACACCATTTTGTGCTTCATCTTGTATCAGCCCAGAAAGTTTAATCAAATTCTAGGAAGTCCTCTTTAAAGTTTCCCTTCAAGCCTTCCATGCCGTGTTCATCAAAGTAATAATAATTAGATCTAATTATTATTGTATGTAATTGTGCCTTGACTGTAATCCTTTCCCTTTTTACACAGGGAAAGAGATTAACAATATGGTGCCTAACTTGGAAACTTTCACAGGATAGTATTTCAGGAAATTGAGACACATCAGTGCTTTCTGGATTCTCCCTTTTGAATTGTCTTGGATATGGTTGACAGCTTTTTCGAGGACTGAACTTTATCTTGGCCAAAATGCATCTGTTCTGTTTTAGCTGTTCTCTTTGAGATTCATTTTTAATAATGGATTTAGATGTAATCAAGTTCTTTAAACAAAGTAATCTTTGAAATTGGAAACAAAAGAAATTTAAACCAGCTATGTGGTTTAAATATCTTGGCTTTCTAATCATAATCCGGGATTATTTGCATAGAAATTCCTGTGTGTGATTGAAGAATGTGTAAATTGATGCCTTATTCAGGGAACAAAATTCTACTACCTAACTACTAGACTAGTGTAGAGCATATGGAAACAAAAAAAGGTGGGAACAGAGGAACAGAGGATGTATCTTGCGTTGGAGCTGTGAGTTAATGTTACTGCATTTGCTGCTTTTCTTTCATCCTATATCCATGAGAAAGTTGATGCCTGGATACCATGTTTTTCATTATTTTTTCTTTGAATATTACAGATTGAAAAATTAATTTCTAGATTAATATAAAGACAGTTGAGCTGATGCAGGTAGTAACTGTGTGTACCTCAACTTTGTTACCAATTTTACATCTGGTGCTTGAATAAAGAAATGGCATTATTACAGCCAGTTAGCAAAAAAACCCCAACAAACACAAAAAATACTACACTTCCAGAAAGCCCATACAGGTGTAGTTCACTTAGGAAAATGAGAAGTCTGAACCAAACTTGAATGAATGTTTGGAGAAACACCAGCATTATCTATTATCGTTCTAAGTTCGTATTGTGGCAAACACGGTGGCTGCTCTGTTTGGTAAACTGTAGAAACGTGCTGCAGCCAGCAACTAGAGCTACTTGGGTGATCTCACATTTATCTGTGTGTAATGTGCTATCCTGTAAAAGCAGCTAAGAGTTCGTATGTCTTCAGTGCTGAAGGCCTAGAGAGATCTGCAGTGGCACACAGGCAACCATACATAATGAAACAAGCGACTGAAAGATACCAAGATGTAGTTATTAAGGGAATTTAAAAAATACAGGTGAAAGAGGCTTCTTGTGCAAGTGCATTCGGGATACATGATGTCCATATACTTGCAATAAGGTGTTAATGTAGTTGTCATGTCTAAGGGTGGGAGAGATCCGGTTGCATTCCACATTAAGCAAAGCAGTCAGACTCAAAGGTAAGTCACAGTGTTTTGATCTGCATCATATGGCAGCAAAGACCAAGTTACAGCATTTACATATTTTAGTTTAATTTGTCAAAAACAGACACGTGGCAAATAAAACTGGAAAGAGGTAGTGGAAATAAGTTGTTCCTTATATGATATGATGTCTCTAGTGGATGTAGCACTTGTCAGTTTAAAAAATGTGGGTGATAAGCACTAGAAAGGTGGAGCTGCTATGATATGCTGTTGTTAGATGAGA